GATAGATAGATAGATAGATAGACAGATAGATAAATAGGTAGATAAATAAATGAATGAGCGAATAGATGTAATGATATAAATTGCCACAGATATCTCGAAGTAAAAGTCATAAGCTGCAGCTTTAGTTCAAGATCTCGCGGCTTGTGATAATATTGGCATTGCTCTGAAAATTGCTAATATTGTCTTGGGTGACTTGCCTAGCGAAGACATGCTACTTTTGTTTTTGACCATTCTTCTCGAACTTTTCGCGGTTCGTTTTTCAAATTCCAATATTTAGAGAGTATCAAATGAATATTCATTATTTTCGTTCCTAATATTCTGAAAAAATTACCAATATGCTAATTTTATTAAAGAAATCACTGTTCGTCCAATAGGATTAGTTTCATTTTTAAAATTTTAAAATTAAACTGACTCAAGTGTTTAAGAAATGTTAAGAATGTTAGGATTAATAGCTTCATCAAAATATCTAAGATAATCATTTTATTATTAAACTGATCAACGCAGTTTTGTTTAGCACCACTGATATTTTAACAATTCTATTTCTTTATAAATCAGTGCAGCTAAGCTAAAATCAAAACTGATCATCTTTGAGAGGAATTAAAATCATTGAGATTATACTCATAGATTTTGTGATTCAGTTGTTCAAAAATTTCAGCCATACACACTTGGCTAGCTTTTTTATTAAAATTGATCTGAGTCTAACTTTCAAAATTATCACGATTTTTCTTCAAGAATTACCGTGATGGCTTTGAGTAAATTTCTCCTACTGTTGGTAAAGCTCATCATTTTTACAAACTTTTCGGTCAAAAATAAGAATTTTTAAAACATTTTGTGCAGTCCACATGACGTGATTATTTTTGACTCCTTAGATTAATTTTGCCGAAAGATTTATTAGTCTCATTTAATTCTGTCATTTTCAAATATTAGTGTCATCAAATATTTTTAGTTTCGAATCACTTCTTGATAAATTTCAGCCTGCATTATTCTCCGCTCAAAATGACTACTACTCGTTTATCGAAGGTCAAGGGACATCATTTTGGCGAAAAAGACAGTTGGCATTAAGGCCGAGACGAAATTCTGTGATGAACTTGCAGCCAATAAAAACACAAAATTTTAACGAAAATGGTGGGAAATGTGACCCCATCACGATTAATTCTTATAAGTTCTATCTTTTCTACTTCAAAAAAATCAACCTGGAAGAATTTTTTTTATAGTAGTAAAAATTTGTTAAACAACAAAAGCTTCAGAAATGATATTGCTGAAATTACCACAATTCATTATTATTGTCTTCAAGCTAAGCATCCTCATCTCATTGTAATCATCAAATCTTCAGATGATATCAAATTCATCTAAGCATTCAAATTTCATCTGAAAATCATCTTTTTTTTTGCATTCTAAATTTCATCTGAATTTTCAGAATATTTAATTTCAATACGTACAGTAGACTACAACTTTTCATTTTTAAACTACCACTGTGATTAAAGCTTTGTAAATTTAGCTGGTGGAAAATTCATATTTTCTTGTTTCAGAACAAAATATGCGATTAATTATTCCTCAGGAACTATTTTCAAAGCAAAATGCTAATATAATAATTAGCGATTTGAATATTCGAAAATGGTTACCACCAGAGCAAGTTTCTATATTGAATCAACTGTACCACACAACAAATGACATTGGAGTGGTTTTGCATAAAGCACATACGCTGATGTTAGGCACTTACGGTGATTTACGTGAATTAGTGAGTTATATAAAAACTGTAAATATACTACTTTTTAGCAAAATTTATTGCTAAAAAAAGAGATTAGTCTTACTTTCTACAGTATTAAATGCTGAAAATTTGAATCGAATTATGTATTAACATAATTACGAAAAAATAAAGTCAACTTTGCAGTAACTTAAACCTTCAAAGGTATTGCTACGCTTTTGAAACTTTATTTCAAAAGAATTGGCTAAAAATTTTGGCGGCAAAACTTTTTTTGTTGAAAATTTCTTCATTGTATATTTTGTATTACTTTGCATCAAATTTCTGATTTTCATCCCTTTTGCTTTGATTTCCTTCATTCCCTAACTGATTCATCAAAGGCGCTTCGATTCAGGCCTTTTTGAAGAACTAAAGTTCATTTCCCGCGAAGTTTCTTCGCATTCTCCCCAAACTTTATGATTAGTTTGTCTTGGAATAAAGTTGATTTACAAAGTTAATTCGGTCGTAATTTAATTGAATCGAACACTGTCAGGCTTTGGAAAGTTTCAAAAAAACTTGCAAGGACTTATTACAAGCTGTAATGGGTAGTGCAGGCCGAGAATTAATTGAGAAAATGTACAAATTCAATGAATCAGAGACTGAAATCATCAGTGAGCTGAAGGAGTTTCATACGAATTTGAGTGATACAAGCAGAAAATACGCTGATATGGTACATGGGGATTTTTGAAGTTAATTGCAGTAAAATTTTGTCAAGCATCAGTTTTGCTTTTTCAAAAAATTTAAGTTAAAAAGTACCTTTCACATTTATTTTTAATTGATAATTGGATGAAGAACAATCATTGTCATAGTTTGCCAAAAAAATGAAAGTTTAGGTAACTCCAGTTTGCTTACCTATACAGAAGTCCAATCCCAACCAGACATCGATACCTCAGCTTCTCAAGACAACGGATGGAAATGCCTCATTTGCCAAAATTATCCATTGGCTTACTGAGAAACAAGTAAAATAGAGAAAGTTTGAAGACTGTACAGTTCTCAAAATTAATATTTAGAGATGATTATATATAGAAGAATTTATTAAAGTGAATTTACAGTAAAAATATGCAATTTAAATCAGTTTTCAGCAAGCAGAAATTGGTACGATGTTGGCTCGAGGTGAACAAAATAGTCAAATTTTAGCGAAAATATCAAGTTACATTGAAAATTTCGACTCGGTCACTAAAGAAAACATGACAGAGTAATATTTTTGTTTTATCTCGTATTATTATTATTATTATTATTATTATAACTATTATTGTTATTATTATTATAACTATTATTGTTATTATTATTATTATTCTTTCAAAATTCCTTCAGAAAAAAACTATTTTTATTCTTACACTTTGGTTTCAAATTAAATTTAAGTCATAGTCTGTTTTACAATTATTAGTAGTTCTTGAAGTGAAAACTGTTCAAAGAAGTGGAGCAGGTGATTGCTTTTGGATTAGACATCTTTTTAAAGAACAAAAAAATATTAGAAAAATTTTAAACTGCTCTGCAGTAAACAAAAATTGATGAAAGATCAGAAAGTGAAGGTATAACTTAAAGTTTAATCATTTAAAAGAATACATTATTTGTCTCAGAAGAATACTACCGTAAAATTTCTTGTCAACTTTTCTGAGCAAAGAAAAAATGAAATTCAAAAATTCGCGCTTTAATTTTTAATAATGGGGCAGTGACATTGAAGAGATCTCAAACAACTTTGTCAAAATCGCGTGGAAGATCTTTTTGGAGTGGATGGTCTCGCCTTATTGAAGACTATGTATCAGCAGTTGGGATCAGTAGAGTTGCTAATAGCTAAGTATACTCAGCTTGTTGGAAATCTAAAAAGTGAAGATCTGCGCAATGAAGCTGATCAAGTGCGCATTTTTTGTCAGAAAGTATACAAAGTGAAGAAGTTCGATCTAGCTGATTTGACCACGTGGCTAACTGCTGATCAAGTTTGCTTTGATTTTAAAAGTTTACCAAGAAAAATAAAATTTTAGATTTGTTAGAGCAGAAAAGAGTGAAACACTATATGTTGAATGTAGGCATTTCCATTACTGTAATAATCTTATCACTCAATTATGCTTTAATTCTTGAAAGATCTCAAACGTTTCGTGTGTTTGCAGAAACTTGAACTGGGTGATCTGATCCAAAATTATGAAGTAAGCGATGGAGCTGTTTATGAGCACATTTTTGAATTTTATGAGAAGGCTAACAGTGAACGGAAACTACTCGCAGAGAAGATTATTCAATCCAGCTGTAAAAGATTCATTTTCCGAATGTTTGGCGATGAGATAGCTACAGTAAGTTTGGCCGTCAAGCTGATAAAGTATGAAATGCATGCACAATCAAGTAACTTCAAGAGCTCGAAAATTATAATGGAATCAAAAATACTAATTAAAATTAAAAAAAAAACTGTTTGTGTCATTATTACTTTAACACTTGCAATTTTTCATGATTCATTAACTAATAATTTGAAAGAAATATTAATTTCCAAACTTACAGAAGCTACAAGAGCGTAAATTGGATGGAAATTACAGTGCGCAGATGCTAAGCGCCGAGCTCGCAATGTATGCTGCTGAAATAAAAGATGACAAAAACCGTATAAAGGCTGAGTAAGGCCTTTATGATTATTTAGGCTCTTATTTTCTTAATTCATTTTAACTTGATCATTCTCAGTTGCTCAATTGATTAAATAATTTCAGAATCAAAGTAAAAATATTAATTTTAGTTTATGCTTCCAGAAAATCAATCCCAATTTGCAATCGAATCTATTTTGGCTACAAGGGTGATTGTTTTTGTAATGGTCACTCATCTGTCTGTAATCCATTAACTTATCAGTGTGTAAACTGTGCTGATAACACTTTCGGAGTACAATGTGAAAAGTAAAAGTAAAAAAAACTTTTCTAGTTATCACTGGGTAGATATCTTGATTTATTACATTCACTAGTTTGTACCAAACACTCTCGTCTTGATTTCTTTCAAATTTTCTCGCTCTTAAATCAATTTGGACATTCGGTTGTTTCCAAGTTAAAATTTTAAGAACTATAAGAAAACCATCTAATAGAAAGCATTACTTTTGGAGATAGCACAGTAGATTGTAGTGTACATTTTAGATGCATAGATGGATTTGAAGGCGACGCCAAGTTGGGTGAGAAAGGTTGCATTGTAAATGGGATAGACATTGAAGACAAGAAATGTGTTTGCAACAAACATTCCTCAAAGTGTGATGAAAATGATCGCTGCTTAGTAATCTTTGCTTACAACTTTTAAAGTTTACGACGGAACTTATTTCCAAAACACTTTTAAGCACTCAAAACTATTGGAGATTGTTAAACGCACTGTGAGAGGGGATGAAGCTAAATTGAAGTCTGAAGCATTTATTCTCTGAATCAAATTTTGTGCGATTAAAACAATTCGAAATTCACTCTCCAAAAAGCAATTGAATTTTGACGGTAAATTACGCTGAATGAGTACATCTGCAAAAAAGATATAAATTTACTACATTTAAGCAATATTTAATAAACTATGAAAATTGCCAACTGATTCTGAGATTTAGAGATTCTACTAAAATTCCAAAATTAGAAATGTCTCAGGATTGTTTGCACAATACAATAGGAAACAATTGCGAAAATTGTATGCAAGGTTTCTACGGAGACGCAACTCAGGGCACGCTGGAAGATTGTAATCCATGTCCATGCCCGTAAGTCCAACATTTCTAGTTGTGCTAGTGTCTGAAAAAGAAATGAGAATAAGGAAGCATCAAAATCGCAATGAAAATTCAGTTATTCGGGATAGCGAGATTTAAATGTGCCTTCGATCACCTCCATAACAATTCTTTCAGTATTTGTTCCATAACAATTCAAACTACTTACTCTCTTAATTTTTATTCTTCAGGTGCAGTAATCTTAGCCAAAAAGAACAATTCAAAAAAGTTTTGGATTAAACTTTGAGATGATTTTGCTAGAACACAACTATGTTTCACAGTTTAATAATCTTAGTTTATATTTTCTGCTGTTCTTTTGATTAGTCTGTTTTGTTGTTTGAACTGTCAGTATTTGTTTGCATCTGTTTTGTTGGTCAGTTCAGAAACTGGTTACTAAAAATAATTTTAGCAGATTTTCAAGAACGCAACAATTAGTAACAATCCATTATGAATAGATTCAAATGGCTTACAAATTTTTCAAAAATTGCTTCAATGTTTTCGAGAATTTCAGAAATGGAGGAGAATGTTTTATTAATTCTGATGCATTAGTAGAATGCCGTGAGTGTCCTATTGGAACTCTCGGGGTTACATGTGAACTGCAAGTTCCGCAAACAGAAACAACGACAGCAGTTGTTGAAGTGACCAAGTGACAATAGTGAGCTTCAACCTTCAGCTTGTTCAATTTTGACCGTTACGAATTATTAAGTCATTAATTTTTCTGACTATTTTGCTTTAATTACTACAGTTAGAGTTAAATTTCAAAAACTACAGACAGTTAGAGTATACTTTCTATTTTGAATTGTAGAGATTTGATTTAATCAAATTCAAATACACTTAAATAGAAAACGAGCCCCACATTCCGACTCAAATTGTTGAATTATTAAATTGCAATTGACTATTTTATCATTGGTACTGCAATTAATAATTAAGTAACCAATTTTATCTTTTCAGTTATTACATAATGATTTCGTGTAAATAATAAATTCTTAACAGATGAATTGTTGGTAATAAACTAAAAAGCAGAATTTATTTCAGTAAACACTAATTTAGCAATAATATGAAAAATAGTTTAAAACATAATGTCAGGACATGTGCAATCCATTATAACATCATTAGTATCCACGTAAATGAGTTGATTTTCTGTAGGAATATCGCGTATTCGGTAGCAACCACCAGCAGGACCTCGTGATGGATCTTTGTAAAAACACTGTGTCCATTTGGTGATTGAACTAAGATATATTGGACATCTGTAATATGATTTAGACATACCTTTTTTAAGTAGAAGTTTAGAAATTTTTTCAAGCAAAACAAGTTTTAGTTTTTAAAATAGCAAAAAATAATATCGCACCGATATATATTGCAAGGCATTGTTTCTGTAAGTGTCTCCAGATTTTCTGGACAAGCAGGGAATCGGCCCCATGCCTGAACGATACTTTTTGCAATTACGTGACGTGATCGCACTGGCATTGACGAGCCTTCCATGCAAGTTTTTGAGCAATGACTCCAATGACTCCATTCATACATACACGGTGACTCAATCATTGATAATTTTGCAATCTATGAATTGCCGTATTCAAATTAATCCCAATTTTCATCCATTGATAAAATTGCACATCTTCACTTCAGTACCTTGTGGATTTTTTGAGTATGCAAATTTTGTCAAGGAACAGAATTATTAAGACAAACAAAATGTCAACTTTAAAGAACAAAATTTGTCGTTTTGGTTAAAATATAGAAATTTTGAGTGCTTGATCAGAATTTCTGGTTTTTTCAGTGGTAATTAACTTTGTACCAAATATTCGTTTCAAAATCACGAGAAATTTTTTTTGATTATTTGTTTTTTGTTGGGAAAAAAATCGAAGGTAAAAATATTTCCACTGATAACAAATACAATCCTTGCATCCAACTTTTATCAAAATAAACGTGCCGTGTGGTTGATGTTTAGTGCTTTGATCACATAAACGATTGTTATGACAAATAAACTTGAGCATATTATTAATAAGATCAAGTTAAAAAGAATATATCTTCGTATGCGTGGATCTCTCATTGCTCTCTACAACAAATTTGAAAGATTAACTGTAATCAGTTACTGTCAAGTTCATTTTTTATCAAAAATTGCTTACTGCTTTGGGATATGTTTGATTAGGTGAAATGTGGAAAAAATTTGTAAGGCTAAAAAACTAAAGCTTAAATTACCGCGCACGCAGAAAGTAAAGTCCAAGATACTACAACTTCTCCTCCATCAGTGAGGTCAGATAGCTAAAAAATGCTTACATTAAATTTTAATTCTTTGATGTGTTAGGTGAAAAGTTTCGAAAAAATATTCTCAATATGAGGTTTAATCTATCTTGCTACCTTGCTTCTTTTTTTTCACTCATTAAAAGATTTTAGATTCTTACTAGTACTGACCTCTTTAGTCAGGTCACCTTCTTTGAACTCAGGTTCTTCATCGAGAGTTTTTTGCTCTAATTCTTGCTCGTTAAAACTCACAATAGCTGCTGCTATTAATGATGATTTGTGAGCGTATCCGTGAGGTACTACAGTTTCAAATAATTTTTTTTCGTCACTTAAAGAAAAAAAATTATATTAGTTATAGGTAGTGATAATGATAATGATAATGATAATGGCAGCAAAATTTTTTCTGGAAATAATTGAAAAGTGAAGTTTTCTTATGTGAGCGAAGGTCGTGATTCTAACTCATGATTCTAACTCATGATGGAATAACTTAATGCTACATTCTATTTGTTGATGAACAAGCAAATACATTTAACCATGAATAATTAATGCTAAATATTAGAAGCCGCAAATACGCAGCAAATAATTTTTCAATCATTACAAACAGTATGTTAGAGTTTCAAAGATTCGTCTTCTTATAAATTTTCATCGCAACTCAACGTCTAATCGTAGCTTTTTTCTAAATGTTATGATACACTTTAAAAAATCAAACGAATCTTGATTATCTTGGTTCAAAGGTTGCGGTGAATTCTGAATATCCATAGATAATCGACCGATTCACAAAATTGCATTTGATTAAACTACTAATTTGCAATATAAAAATAACTGAAATTACATAAATTTGCATAAAAATATGTGAGACTATTAGAAAAGCTAGAGATTTAAGAGTAACTTCCAGCAGACATGATTAAAGTCAATAAAATTCAAAAATTTTGAAAGTGTTATTGTTCCTTCGGAAGTTTGTAATGCATTGAATATATGAATGATGTTTACTACAGTGCTTACTAAAAGTATGAAAAAAATCACTCTATAAGGCAACTGTTGCTTTCTACAAAGTGAATTATGCATACTTTTTGATTTACAAAATTGAAAAATTTTTTTTGAGAAGTTTAGTTTTAATATAAAATAAATTTTGTTTTGACAAAAAAAAGAACGAATATTATTCAGCTTTTCAAAACTACTTCGTACACAGCGATTATTTTATAATTAATACACTGATCTTATCTTGACAAACTAATTGTAAATTTATATTGCTGATAAAATTTACAGATAAAAAAGATGAAGAAAATTTATAGCTTTGATAACCTACCAAAATATCAGTAATGCCAGGCTTTTTAATGAGTTAGTTGCTGAAGTATACCATTTTTCAGGCATTACTGTTTGCATTCCGCAAGTAAAATAGCAAAAACAACAACAAACTAAAAGCATTTAACAATTTTTTAACAAACTGAACAGAGCGCGAAAAAGGTAAATGAAATTTAGGGAATGTAATCAGGACATTCACAAGTTCGAATAAAATTCTCAGTGTCGATGTAGATTAACTGGTTGTTGGTGGGTAAGTCGCGCATCTGATAGCAACCAGCTTTTTCACGATAAGCTAAATCGTGGTAGATGCAGTTGGTCCAGTTGAATGAGCTCAGAAACATTGGGCATCTGTTGCATCAAAAAATATTTAGTATGAAAACTAAAACTAATTTTGTGTTATAAAAATTTAATGAATCAATTTTTTTTGCAAAATTAGCAGTAAAAAATTCAACTTTAAACTAATTTCTGAATTTTAATACGAGGCTGCGCTAATAATAATACCGGTAAACATTGCAAGGTATCGTTTCGACCATTTGTTCAATTCCTTCAGGACAACTGCGGAATTTACCACTTGCGTGTAAAATGCTTTTTTTAATAACATGACGTGAACGAGTAGGCATTGACGCTGACCAACAAGTTTCCGAGCATGTACTCCAGTCACTCCATTGATACAAACATGGCATTTCTCGATTTAAATACTTCTTTATCTGTCAGTTTTTCTCTTTTAAAAGCAGTTGATTTAACAATTTTAGTAATTTATTATTTCATATATTTTGAAAAGCGGGCACTAATTTAACTTGGTGCATACATTTGCAATGCAATGTTTTCATACCAGATTATTGGCATTGTAAAGTCTGATAACATTGATTGCTGTAGCAATGAATATGCCAAAATATGTCAGAGCTACTAAGAAGTTCATTATCGCTAGTATTCGAACACGCGGATCTTTTATCATTGGTATTATAAGCTAGAAAACAAGAAAATTGACGTGAAACGTGAGAGGAAACAAAGTTTACAGTTAATCGGATTAGCAGCAATTCAAATTTCTCTGTTATCTACTTAACATCATTTTCATGGTATTTTGATGACAAACTTCAAAACCATTTTACAACTTTTGTTGTTATAATTAATTTTTGTTGATATAATAAATATTAATTTACAAGATTCATAATGATTAAATTGCTACTTTGTTGCTAGAGAATGAGAATGAGGTGATGGAATAGTTTTCTGCCTCCATATCTGTCATATCCGATAACTGAAATGTTGCCTTTAGACAGTCTGCTATGATAAACAAAAATTTGTGTGATTTTTGTTGGAAGTAAACAGTAAACAGTTACTGATACAACAGCAGTGACAGTAATTCTTGTCAAAGTATATGGCAATCGTTGAGTGGAACCATATTTTCTAAATGACTTAGTAATGAATTCAATGTGACAAACCTCCTTAGTGAGATCACCTTCTGATAATTCAGGTTCTTCGCTGAGAGTTACCTCATTGACCTCTGATGGAAACGGTTGAGCTGACACACTCATTTGATAAAGTTCTATTTCATCTGCTTTGTTTGCATTATTATTGCTACCTAAATTCCAATTTCTGAATATCGCCTTGCAATAGATGCCAATACTCCTTGCAAGCTGCACTCGAAAACTACTCAAATAAACTCATATTTATTCTTTGATTGATGCCAATTCAAAGTTAACTTTGTGCAGAGTGCTGAAAAACAGTGATTATCCTTATGAAAAAGCCTTATACTTATCTTACTCACGCTAACTTTACTTTATGGTATGGCGCTGTTGTCATAACATAATGTAAAAGTTAGATTTAGTAAGGTAAGTACAGGCTTTTTATATATGCTGGAAAAATTTATGTTGAAGACGAAAAAGCCAACTATTAACAGAGCTTCGCGCCACTTCTTTCTTCGCAGTTACTTCCAGTTCATTCTTTTCCATGATAAATGGATTGATTACAGTGAATGCAGATGAGCAGATTCGGGCCAAGTCAGGTCAGGTATTTATTTATTTATTTTTTTGCTTCAGCTTTAACTAATGATTTATTCTGATGAAAATTTGCATTGCAGTCACTTGATATGCAAATGTGAGTAGCAAGGGAGAAAGTTTTGCCTTCTTTATCCATATGAAAGAAAAAAGTTTGCATTTCATTATTATTATTTTATAAGACTATATTTTGATTCATTTTAATTAATCTTTTTTATTTAATGCAGTTGTTTGGCTTACTGAACAGCAACTATTTACTCACATTCAGCGTATTAAATTTATATAAGAAACTGGCAGAGTAAATAATAACTAATAAATATGCTTCGTTCCCGTTATTTTCTGTTTTAGTTTCCTTTCTCATCAATCAGACTTGGAGCAATTTTATGTCGATATTCCTTTTGTTAGCTTATATTTACGTAGGTACCTGAAAAAGGGACAATTAACGGAGTTCAAGCAAGAAATGTCCAGGAAATGTCTCATTTTCTTCCAGTTTTCACTTATAAACTAGGCGCTTTCTATACTTTTTACAACCTGAATTTGGTTTTCTATATAATTAGAGATTTACTTATAATACTTTGACAACAACCTCTCATCTAACAAAAGTTTTAATAATTAGAATTAATTTTGGTAATGCATGGACATTATTATATCAACTGGCTCTCATGGGTTGCAAATTTTA